ATTTGTTGCGTCACTCCAGCTATCTGTGCGAGGAACGAACGTATAAATCTGTTAACACAGTTCCTAACCAGGACAACGCCGTTCACTACCCGGCAGAGTTCCTCGACTCAGTAACAGCACCCGAATTACCTGCCCACGAGCTCACGCTTAAGGTCAGAGCTCCAATAATGCTCCTCCGCAACTTACTCACTCCCAAGTTGTGCAACGGAACACGGCTTCAGGTTCGTAGTCTGCAAAGATACGTCATCGAGGCAGACATCCTCACTGGCTGTGGTGCTGGAGAGTCAGTCTTCATACCGCGCATCCCCTTGATCCCAAGCAACTACCCGTTTGAGTTCAAACGGCTGCAGTTCCCGGTCAGCGTCTGCTTTGCGATGACTATCAACAAGTCACAGGGCCAGACATTGTCCACTGCCAGGGTAGAGTTCAGTGGATCTGACTGCTTTTCACACGGGCACTTCTCGCAGCCTATTTATCCATGCCCCAGGTGGACGTACTTCCAATGTCGTCTATCAAGCGGCTCTTCGGTAAATAAAACTAATTTTTTCACAGATGTGTGATACACTACAAACACACAAGTACAACTCATCACAATTTGACATTTTCCGTTTTTTCTAAGTGACGCAGTTAACACATGGTCTTCAGTATATTTTGTTAACTTATATTTAATTGTTATAATAATGTACAATAAAAAATGTAAAATGTAATGTAAATAATGTACAAGTAATTTGTTTGTTAATTGTTAAATTAATGTATTATTTATACACACAACCCGTACGAAGGACGGGTACACAACTAGTTAGATATAAAACATTAAGAATTCTGAAATGCAGATTATGCTCACTGTAACTTAAAATTTTGAGATTCATGAAATAACATTTTATTATTAAAATGTGAAGTTAAAGAATTAAAATATTAGCAAACTGTGTTTTGAGAAAATAGCCATAAAAACAAAAATGAGTTATTTTCGTTCCACTTCTGACACCAATTTGTTATGTCTCCGTTTGTTAATTAACTTTCCGTAACTTCGTTCCGACGAAACTTTAACGACACAAGTCTTTACTTAATAAAACTGGTTTATTCTTTCCGAATACAACTTTACGATACACTCAACTTCAACAATCGCGCTAAACAAACGCTATAACAACGAACGTGCTCAATAATACTTCTGACTGCGGATCAATTACTCACTGTCTACCCACACGTTACATTCCCCTCTTTTATATACCAGCCTACCCTATATCTAGTAATTACTAGAGCATTCGCCAAAGTACAGGATAGTTCTAGAAACGTGGCGTCACAGTGGTCATGTGACTCGCTGACGCAACATTATTTTTTTTATTGCTAGTCTACTAATAACAAAATTTAAGACAGCTACAGTGCATACTAAGGAAGAAATTAAATGCAAATTACTGTATATGATGCAAACACATTTTCTACTAATGTGATGTACAAATATAATACACTAAACCATCCTATAGCAGAGTACATGAATATCTTTATAACATTTTTTCAAATCCTTTTTACAGGTTTCTGAACTAGAAGTTCTAGATGAATGGTATGTGTGTGCTCAGCTTTCAACTACACTAATTTTACTTTTAGAAATTGATGCACACATTCACACGCTTGACTACAGACATCTCTATGCATTTTTACACCTGACTGACTTGCTGGATAATTTAAACTATTCTTAATAAATTTCTTGCATATTATATAGTCACGTATGGAGATAGAGATGTAAGAAACTCTAGTTTTCCTGTTCATTATATAACAGTACTTGCCTAATAATGTTTGTGACTTGGCATTTTGCGAACAATAAGGGAGATTCAAATTTTTAATGTAATTCCATGCAAATCTCAAACTTTCTAGAACTGCTGTGTTGCTTATAACATCCAGTTGTCTATAGATTTGATGTTGGTCTAGCGAAGTTCTCAAGTTTGAATTGTTTATTGTTTTGATAATTCATCAAAATGGCTCATAACATACTTTGTAATTAAAAAAGACTCTTTTCAATGTGAATAAAATGGGTCATTTAATTAGAAAATAGTCAAAAATTATAAACAACTAGAGAAAAAAGATAGTATATGGTATAAAATTTCCTGTTCCATTCTTTCTTAAAAACCTTTACAAAAATCATGTGTATCTTGAAATGATAATGAGCTCATCTACATATATATATTAATGACTGTAGTGAACTAAAAAATACTAAAATACTGATGCACTAAATTGCTTGTTGGTCAATAACATTGTTGATCAAAATATCCAATAATAACATAACAGTCACACACAAAACAATTTAAACAAAAATATTATCAGTACTGCTTTCAATTCCACTAATTACACCTGGGATTCCCTTTGTATTTTAAACAGGAAATGGATGAGTTTACTCGGTTTTGTGGTCAGTTCTTTACAGTGAGTATATAAAATCATAAACATAAAAATATTCAATATGATGCAATATGTGTGAACCTCACCATTAGAGAATGGTTTAAAACACATTGTTTGTCTGAATTTGGAAATTTTACTTTGAAAACGTTTTTCTAATAGAAATAAAACTTCATTTTCCAAAAGTTTTGACAAATCTTACTGAAAAACTTCAAGCTTTAAAACACTAGGAGTTGCTTCAAAAAACAAAAATATCTCTCATTAACAACAACAAAATGTGCTACTGTAAATTTTACTGAAAAAAATGATCCTTCTTTTCACTGGTAGTTATGGAAGAGTAGACTTAAACAACTGACTTCATTTACAAACACTTTTTACATTTACTGATACATTGTCACTTAGCAATTGATCTTGTTAATATAGACAACACAAGCAAGCTTGAAGAAATACATGATCTTTTCGAATATAGCAAACTACATGTAGACGAAAGATTTGCAGAGAAGAGAATGACCTCAATAACCTTACACTTATTCCAAAAAGTCTGCTTTTGTAAAAAAAAGGACTCAGCACTCTGTAATAATTAATTAAAAGCAAATTATTAGATTATTTTTTACCACACATCAGAGATCTATGACAAACAATAAAAAAAAGGCAAGCATTAAATCTGTTGACCACTTACATCTATTTGATATATTTTAAAAGGAAGGTTAACAGCATCTCCCATGATTAAAGTCCTATAATTTATATATATTCTAAACAACAATCATGTTTCACAGAAGGAATAAGCCAATACTTTCTTTATTAAAACAAGGAATAAATAGAAGTAAAAATTTTGATCTTTGAATATGGCCTACATTTTAAGTAAGGAACTTTTGTAAGGTTATTTGCAAATTATAAGGAGTAATTATTATATATGTATTTCTGTTGTGGTGCTCCACAATATATAATACTAGCAGATGCCCATTGAAACAATTCAATAGTAATTTTCCTAAACATAGTGATGAATAAATATAAAATATGCAATTAATCCAATCCCTTAGATAAGAACTTATAAGCCATATGATTGTTTAGTGGGCCGTTTACAACCATCTTTTGTCATTCCATGTGTTATTGTAATATGGAAAATGTCGTTGCGTTTGTTTATATGTAAAGGAGACTGACTGTAATGCAATGTTGACAAACATATTTTGTTTTCAATGAAATGGGTACATCCAGCACAACAGAGTGCTCAGGTACACTAAGTAGCCATAGGGATGTTTTCAGCCAAATGCTACCATTCCTTGTCATTTTACTGAGCACTTTTAGACAGTTGTTATTTCTATAAGTGTCAAAAAGGAACATATTCAGTGTAATTCAGATCAATTTATTCAACATGGTACAATAAAAATCATGCACATATATATAACAACGAGGTGAAAAATAAATAAATAAAAAGTATATATTTATATAAAGAACAGATATATATATATACTCAAACACATTCCTCTCTTTATGTGTATTTCAAGCTTATGTTCTTATCTTTGAAATATTTTTTTCAATCAGTGAGTGCAGGAAGTCCTATTTTTTTTCAGGAAATTCCCCCACAAAAAGAAATATTTTTGTTCTTAATAAGTTTTCCCTCAGATTGACTGTACAAAGTCTGACAGATTGATGTTGATATCATATGAAATTTTAGGAATTTCCAAAAAATTAATAATTTTCCTGTAATGTACTGTTAAAAAGGAGCTTTCGAAAGAAGTTTTTTCATATACAAGATTTTGAACAAAGAAAGACAGCATGCCATTAGTATTATTACAATTGTAAAGTTCTGATACCATCTTCCTGGTATGTTAGAAGCAGCATAGTTTTGTAAAGAACATATTTGTTGTTCATCTGATATAGAATTTTCAGACATATCAAAAATGAAAATGTCCTCCTGAAATATATATTATAAAAACTCTATGTGTAAATACTATCAATGTACAAGCTTCAACTGTTCATTTATTTTCACATATTACAACAATGATAAGAAATACTGAAAAACATTAAATCTGAGTTCATAATTGAGGTAGGATAAAAAAGATCAGTAAATGACACACAAAAAATCCAAACAGAATGCTAGCTGCCTTTTTTTCATAGGTAGACCAAGTCAGGTCCAACACCTGAATTACTGTTTAAAACTATTAATCTTAAATATTTTATATACTATTCTGTATACCTCATACTCTGCAGTCATGCTTGTAGGAGTGAAAAGAACAGATTGTCCTGTCTTCTGTGAACCAGCGGTGTCTTTGGAATTTAACTTTCTATGCCAAATCGTTTGTCCTCTAGACTGCACAAGCTCACTATTTCCTGCAGATTATACACATTTATAATTTATAAAAAAAAAAAAGGACATTGAAAAAATTCAAAACTCATTTGCAAATTTTTAACAATTACCTGAATATATTACTTGCTCATTATCCTTTCTACAAATTAATTCAACTCTGTACAAAAATAGCACAGCTTAACAGAAGAATGAAACTTTGTGCTATCAAAGTCACACCCTTTAAAAAACAGTTACCTGGCATAATTCTTTTTCTTTTAAGTAGATCTTTTAGCTGGTTAAAAGGTTTTTGTGTGCAATATGATGGCCTCAAGAAGTTGCCACAGGAGTCAGAAGAAAAGTGATGAGAACCATGACCTTGCTTTACTGATACCAAAAGTGGAACATTTAGCTGTACAAGGAGATAATTTTGAGTTCATAATTATTTCTAAATTGTTCAGTGTCTTTCTAATTGAGCAACTTGAATTAAGTAAAGCTGAAATAAATATTATAAAGGTAAAATAAATATATATAAATTATATAATAATAACTCAGTTCATAATGCATTAACCATACTGTTGTAAGTACCTTCATTGTTCTGAAAACTGGTTGTTTTACAGTAAGAAATGAAACATTGTTACAATATAAATAATGAGAAATTTCAAAGGTTGATAAGAATAAAGTTATTCTTATACTTACTATAAAATAGGGTCTAATAGGTGCTTGTATGAAATATTCAAAAAATAAAGCACAAATAAGAATGATATTGACAAGAAACCAAAGGAATTTTTTTTAACCTTCTCTCTTAAGGTAGCACTGACCCTTAAAGAGTATCCCCAATATTTCAAAAATCAAATTTTTCAAACTTAGCCTAAATAGAAAGTTTAAACTCTTTTCTACATAAATTTCTCGTTCTTCTTGTTTCTTTTCTTGTTTTTGTATTGCTGCCATCAAGTCTGCTAAGCTGTAGTTTGATTTTCCGCCTCTCGTTTCCATTTTTCGAGAAGTTACAACAGTTGTTAGAGGAAAAAGAAAAGAAACAAGAAGAACGAGAAAATAAACAAGAAAAGAAACAAGAAGAGAGATTACAGCAGTTGCAAGAAAACCTGCAACAGTGGCAGCTCGAACAGCAAAATAAACAAGAAAAGAGATTACAGCAGTGGCAAGAAAACTTACAGCAGTGGCAGCTCGAACAACAAAATAGACAAGAGAGACTACAACAGTGGCAAGAAGTACAAATGGAAAACATTAGTAAATTTAAAAGCGAATTAGATACGTTAAAGGACGATCTATTGTCTTTTACACAAGGAGGATACATTGACCATCGACGTAATCAGCCCCAGACAATGACAAGCCCTATCCAGACCCTGCATCTAAACCCTAATGCAGACATATTCAGTCCCGTTAGAAGTCACATCCCAGATATGAATGTCAGTAATAGGAGTGATCCAGTGCGAATGAAGCCACAGGAATTCGATGGGAAGGCACCGTGGGAAGCATATAGAGCACAATTTGAGC